CAGTCCACAAAAACATTTTTTGTAACAAAATATCGATTTCTGCTGTCCCTGTATCGATACATTATTAGCAAACAAAATATCACGATACTACACTGTACCAATTTTTTCCCCCACCCCTAACTACCATGGGTTAGGGTTATTAGGGTAATAGGGCTATTATCTACCTTATTAAGCCATAAAAGCAGCTCATGAGTTTAATTTTTGTAAACGAGGAAAGGTGAGAAATAAAATGGAAATAAGACAGAGTTCGCCTGTTTGTGATGGGTCAAGTTAATTGCTGCATTATCAGAAACAGCCTGCATGTAAATGCCAGCTTGACCCCACATGGTCGCACACCTGGTACCTGTGTTTGAAGCAATCATTTCAAAGGCAACTCGATTGCAGGTTCATTGCATACATTTGCAATTAGTATAGTCTCCAGCCAGCGTTTTCACTATAGTGACTGCAGCATTTGTGGCACCACAGTAGTCAAGGCCACTGAATGAGATCAGGGGAGTAACTATGACAAATGTGCCAAATTCCACAGCTCTTTATCAACATGGACCTCAAACGTTGTGGTTGCCTGTGCTGATTCCCTGCTTTGCTACCAATAAAAGATAAAATATTACTTGAAAGAGTGAAACATGAAACACTGATATGAACAAAGTAGCACCACTGCATCAGTTAGTCATACGGACTCTGCAAAATACATTTGAAAAAACTGTCAGCATCTCTGTTACCTGTCGATGCTGCTGATACAGTCTTTGAGGGGCACCAGAAGTCCCTCCCTCACGGGAAGCTGCAGGTCATCTGTCTCTGTGATGACCAGCATGTGTGGGCGGGACAGTTCAGGACTGAGGTCGTAGAGGTGGATCCTGCTGTCATACGTCATCAAACCAACACGCACATCTAAAGCATCACCATCCTCCCTAAACACACCGGATGAAACCTTAAAGACAAACCAGGATTTATCAAAATTTCACAGGAATATTACTGAACACTCTTTTACCTGTTCATAGAGTTAAGCAGCATTTGTATTTGTTGTGTTACGAATTCCAAGTGTCCTCCTCTCAGTGCTGAGACAGACACATCTATGGCTAGAAGGAGTGCAGCAGCTTCCCCCTGAAACAATATGACAAGCGTGTCACAGTTGTACTTAAATTTCACAAAGCCTGTTTTCAAGAGCAGCTAATGAACATCAACGTGCAAACAAAACTGTAAATGGGTAACCTTCTGAGAATTGAGGATTTCATATGACCCCGTGCTGAGTTCAGGCCTCTTCTCCTTATCAACCCGAACCCCGTTCACACCATTGGTAGGCTGGTAGTGCTGCCATGGTACTGAAACACAAGAGAAGACAGACAAACTGCAGCTACACAAAAAGCAA